CGTGACATTTGATGGTGTATTACAAGATTTTAACGGATTGGTTCTCTGACTTCTATGGTTATCCATCTGCCAGCCTGCTGGTTCATAGGACAGCACTGTGCTTATAATTGAAACCCTGGCGGTATTTTCGAGGTTGCGCTCACAGTCTTTGTCTCAGATTATGGCTTTTCTGTTATTATATAGCAAATTTTCTGTGCATTTCCAGCTGAGAACCTTTCTTTCTGAGTCTGCAACGCTGAGATGTTATACAGCAAAGTGAGAAATAGAACACTTACATGTTCTTCATGTGTACATATGCTGTGTTTGTATCCTTGGTCTGTCTTTGTTCATGCTTCTTGAAAATCTGTCTCTGTGTTTCTCTCTTTTCACATTATTACCTGTTTTACTATTCAGATTGCAGAGTTTTTCTAAACTAAAGAGAACACTACAGATTTAAAAGGCAGTAACACAGTTTTCTGACTTGGCCTGTAAATAGATTGTGTAAGAGTGTAATGCAGTCTACTTAAAAAAAGTGATCTGTTTAACTGTGACCAGCAGCAACTATAGTGCCCTTTTGTTTGTTAGTTAGATGATCCCAAAGACATAAGATACGTCCAGTGGTCTAAAAAGCATAGCATGTAGTGATGCTTGTGGTTGGAGTTTGGCTGGAGAACTCTGATGTTTCATTCTTCTGTTGTATTATTTGCATGTTTTCCCCAGAATTTGTAATGCCTTTTCTTATTAAATTGTGGCCCTTGTCGCTGCTTTCTCCGCTGTTGGGGAGGGTCTAGACAGACAGGTACTATGTCCATAAAACACAGTGCTTCCAGCTGTTTCTTTGCCCGCAAAGAGGCTACGTAAAACTAAATATTGCCTCCATGTATTTGCTATGAATCAAAGAAGTCCTTCTATTAATCTTGTCAATCTTTTTATTTAACAGTAGACATGTCTGAAATTCCCACAGGGAAAGAAGGGCAGACCATCAACAGCGCTGTAAGCTTTAGTTTATATATAAAAGATAAGTTTACAATACTGAGAACTCGTGGCAAGGTTATATACTGGAACATAAGCAGGCAGAAATAGCCTGACTGCAATAGTTACGTAGCAACATT